AGTAACACATGGCCATACGACTTCACGGGCCGTATCGATTTATTAGGGCAGGTCTCGTTTTTTCCCAAGCGAACCTGCATGTCTTCGAGTTGCCTGTAGTAGACCGCTGCTGTGCTGCTCTTATTAGCCTCGAGAAAACTGCAATAGATAAAATCAATGGCAGATCACCAGATTTTCACCGTAATATTTCGCGGATGCAACTTCGATTTTGGGAAATGTCAGAGTGCTTCGCCACGATCAGGCCATTGGCCTTATCGCTTAAGACGCTTAAAAAAGGATTGACTTCTAGTCACACGCCACTATTTGATAAAAATGGAGCAGGATAATTAAGCAGAGAAAGGAGCGCACACTTCAAAAAAAGGCCAAGCTATTTGCTTTTACTTGAGCTCATGTAGAACTAAATTGTCCAGCTTTATCACCTTACCAGTTGGCACTAGATGGTCAGTCATTGTTATAATATTAATATAAAAAAGTTAATTTTCAAAAATGTATGACCGTTCTCTATCATTCTCAACTTGCTGGATGTCATTACCACAGCAGAATTTATGAAATCACCGTCGTGCTCTCCGATCACCTTTTGACATTTCTTCCCTTGCTCTGTTGATATTGCTAGCTCTTTGACTCTTAGCTCTTTTAGCTCTTTTCATAAGACTGCCTTTTATGGGAGACGCAGCAAGTGAACTGGTAAGACGACGCCTGAGGACAGCAGTCACGAGTACCTTCCCGGCGGCAAACTCACGCGTACTCTTCACTAACCCTCCCCTTCTACGAATGGGCGGTAAAAACAGACTACTGTTTCAGGCCAAATCAATGTGCATTTAATCGCTCATCTGTTCCTGTGGAGCTGGCTATATTGGCCAAACAACGCGACGTCTACAGGAGAGACTACGCGAGCACATACCAGCCTGGCTCAGCAGAGGGGAGAATAGACCAATCTCAAGCTCAATCCTCGCCCACCTAATTGACATAAACCACCAAGTGGACGCGAGAGAAGCCTTTCGGGTCATATACCGCACGCCA